CGATGTTTCTCTCTGTCTCTTTCTCCCTCCCTTCCCTCTCTAAAAATACATAAATAAAATTTAAAAAAAAAGAAAGAAATGGCTGTATAATATTTTTAAAACCACATAAATTTATTTTTAAAAATAATATCTCACTTTTTACCACATGGCCTCACAGTGTCATAGGTTGAGCCAAGGAGGCCAGAAGGCTCACAGCAGTCCAACCCCTTCCAACCTTCTCCCCTCCATCTCGTTCTCAGGGGTCCATCCAGCTGCCTTTTCTCGCTTTCTCCAACAACACTCTTCCCTGTAACCTTCCTGGTACCTACAGCCTCCTTTCTCTAGAATGCCCCCAGCAAACGTCCCCTAGGGCGCCACTCAGAGAGGGAAGTGTAGCAATTTAGGATAAAAACACGTACAGAAGGGCAATGCATCCTGTGGAATCGCTGGGAGTCCTGAGAACCCAGGGTGAGTTTCCAAAAAAACATCCCCAGAGTAACGTCACAGAATGGGCCTGCCAAGGGAGCGGCTGCTCCTGCCACAGCGGGGAGCTGCTCCTTGAACCACGAAGATGTCACCGCTGCTCCCATCACCGGGGCACGCCTGCACCGCAGCGCGGAGCCAGCGGCTCCCATCCCCGCGGGAGCTCACCCAAGAAGACGTGGATCATTGGAATAGGTCAATGTTCATTAAAGGAATTAAACCAATGATTAATAACTTCCCAAAAGAGAAACCACCAGGTCCAGATGATTTCATTAGTAAATTCCACCAAATATGTAAGGAAACATTATACCAATCTGTAGCTCTTCCAGAAAATAGAAGCAGAGGGAATTCCCCCTACCTCATTCTACGAGGCTAGCATGATTCTACTGCCAAAACCAAGGAGGAGATGACAAGAAAGGAAAGCTGCAGACTGATATCTCTCATGAACACAGCCACAAAAATCTTCAAAGCGTTAGCAAATTGCATCTAACAATGTGTTTAAAAAATTATACAACCAAGTGGGATTTATTCCAGACGAGCAAAGTTGGTTCAATATTTGAAAAGCAATTCGTGTCTTCTGTCCCACCAACAGGTTAAAGAAGAAAAACCATATGATAGTAACAATAGGCGCAGAAAAAGCATTTGACAAACTCAATACTTATTCATGATCAAAACTCTCAGCCAGCGAGCGATAGAAGGGAATGTCCCCAGCTTGAAAAAGAACATGTACAAAACACCTACTGAAATCACGCTTAACGCTGAGAGAAGCAGACATTTTCCTGCCAGCAACAGGAACAACCCGAGGATGACCCCTCTCAGCACTCCCATTCGCCGTTACACTGCGAGTCCCAGCTGATGCAGTGGAAGAGAAAAGGAAACACCCATGTTCAGATTGGAAAGCAAGAAATAAAATTGTCTTTTTTCACAGATGGCATGGTTGTCTATGTAAAAAAAAAAAATCCCCCCAAACCAACAACAACAAAGGAAAACCTGGAACTGATAAGCAATTATAGCAATATTATGAAAGGCAACACTTAAATTCTTAATGTCGAAGGGATGAGAGAAATTAAAAAGTGCCAGTCACAGTTGTTGCAGGCGAGAACATGGAGTCATGCTAAAAATCAGTGAGTAGAAGGATGAGGAGAAATGGAATACTTGGGTGGTTTCAAAGTAACTCTCCCCAAGATACTGACTAATCAGGAAAGGAAAAATGGTCACTTTCCAGTGGTGACGCCTGGCAGATGCCACCGTCACCAAGTGCCCAGGGTGAACCCCGACAGGAGTGATGCCCATCGATACTGCGGACCAATGACACATTTCCCTGAGAAAGGCGCAGTGCCACTTCTGTGACAGTCCTGCCAAAGATGCATACCCTCAGTCCGGTCTCGAGGAGACATCAGATAAACCCCACTGAGGGACATTCTCCAAAGCCCTGAGCAGTGTTCTTCAAAAGTGTCAAGGTCACGAAAAGCAAAGAAAGAGTACGAAGCGAGCACAGATTAGAGGACGCCAAGGAGATGTGAAAACTGCATGTGAGGTGGGATCCCGGATGGGGTCCCGGACTGGAAGAAAGGTGTTCGCAGGAAAAGTGCTGGCATTCCAATGAGTTCAGCAGATTAGTTACCAGTGTTCACTTCCTGGTGTCCATCATCATACCATGGTTCTGTGTAGGATGTTACCATCTGGGGAAGCTGGGACTTCCCCAAGTTTACAGCAACCATGCCGTTGCAACTTTTCTGTAAATGCAAATATATTTCAAAATAAGACACTTCTCCCCCCACCCTAGAAAAGAGTACTGAGTAAGTTTTCCTCATACACACACATACAAAAATAGGAAAGCAGCAGAAAACATTTCAATCATATCCTGACGTTGAAAATAACCACTGCCAGCCCTGGCTGGTGTGGCTCAGTGGATTGAACACTGGCCTGCAAAGGGTTACTGGTTCGATTCCCAGTCAGGGCACATGCCTGAGTTGTGCGCCAGGTTCCCAGTAGGGGGCGTGCAAGAGGCAAACACACATTGATGTTTCTCTCCCTCTCTTTCTGCCTCCTTTCCCCTCTCTCTAAAAATAAATAGAGTCTTTAAAAAAAAAAGAAAAAGAAAAAATCACTGCCAAAAGGCTGAGTCTTTATAAGTATGAATAATATAAGGAAACTTTTCGGAGCACTGACTGTGCTCAAAGCATGTTGCATTTGGGAATGTCCATCCTACGTAAAATTGCCGCCCGCCCCTCACCTACTCACTCCTGTGAGCCCTCTCCCTCCCTATTCTTCTTTCTCCCTTGCACTGTCACCACCTAACATACTATATAATTTATGTATTGTTTTTTGTTTATTCTTTGTCTCTCCCCAATAACATGAAGACCCGTGAGCAGGGATGGGAGTTTGGTTCACTGACGTACTCCAGTGCCTACATTAGTCCTGGGGTGAAGGGGGCGCACAAGAGGCCATCATGGACTTTGAATTCTTGGGGGAAATCCTGAGAAGATGCGAAGAGAGAAGGCCAACAGAGTCCTTGAGTGGTGTGGCCAGGCCGCCACACCAGGGCCCAGCAGGACCAGGACGTGTGTGCGGGAGGCAGTTTACCTGCCGGAGAAATGACATGTTCCAAAAGCTGAGATGCTTAACAAAAAGCCACGGGCCGGCCCCATCACCTCTGAGTCTTGACTTGGGTCTAAAACAAACAGCTATGTGAATGAAAATCCCAGACTGGCAGAGCCCCCTGGAGGGTACATTAGTCTGCTAGGGCTGTGTACTAAGGACAAAATCCCACACGCCGAGCGGCTTAAACGGCAGGAGGTATCATTTCAGAGTTCCTGCAGCCGGAAGTCTGAGACCAGGGGGCCGGCGTGGCGGGTTCCGCCTGGGGCAGGGTCTGTTCTGTTTTTCTCCCCTACCTTCGGGTGGCTTTCCGGCAGTCCTCGAGTTTTTCGGCTTACAGAAACGTCGCCCCAATCCCTGCTGACATCTTCACGTGGTGCCCTCCGTGTGTGTGTGTGTGTGTGTGTGTGCGCGCGTGTATGCGTGTGTGTCTGCATCCAAATTTTCCATTTTGATAAGGACACCAGTAACACTGGATTAGGCATGCCTTAATGACCTTATCTTCACTAATTACAGCCTCAAAGACCCTACTTTCAAATGCGTTTACATTCTGAGATCCTGGAAGGTGGAACTTCAACACAGGGATTTGGCAGGGGACCCACGTCAACCTAGCGCAGGTCTAGCTTTTGAAGTGTGTTGTATCTTCAAGGTGAAAGCTGCCTAGAGGGCTGCTGGCATAGACCGCATTATGCGGCAGTCCCTGCCAGTCTCAATGATCAGTGACTTAAAACGACAAACTTCTTTCTCTCGGAGTCCACCGAGGGTCTGTGGGACTCTCCACGACCGGTTTTCTCCGTGCCCTGACTCAGGGGCCCAAGCTGCTTCTCTCTTCTGGTTCCACCATGAGGGGCAGAGAAAGGCCAAGGTGCCGCGCGTGGTTCTGTCCCTTGGTTCTGGCTGAAGTGACCCTCTGCACCAAGGCTCGTGTGTTCTAACCGGAACCGGTGTCCTGGGCCTGCGTACCTGGAGGGGAGCCTGGGGAAGGTGGGGAGCAGGTGGAGTGTTTGTGGGCACCATAGCCTCTGCCGCACTGACTTTTGGGGGACGGGTGTGAGGGAGTGTTTACTCAAGGCTGTGGAAACTGAACTCTTAGTGTGTATTGGAGGGCAGGGGAAAAAATATTTGCTTTAGACGTTAAAGCCGGACCCACTGTGTCCCTGACGGTTGAAGAAGAAAGAACAATCAATGCAGGAAGTGTTCATTGGTTCCATCCCCAAACAGGTAAGGACTGGGCAAAGGTAGAGACAGTACTTTAGGGCAAACTCCATGGCGGTTTCTGGCTTTTTCTGCAAGAGGAGGAGAAGGAGAAAGAGGAGCAAGGAAAGAAGGTAGAGACGCTGACCCAAGTCAGTGGGAAGGGGTGCTGCATTGCACCCCTTTCGCAGCTGGGGTCCCCGGGGGGCAGGACGAGTCCTCATCATCCTCCTTTAGAGACTCACATGCATCCTGGCATTTTGTAGAGGCTGAGTATGTACTTTCCATGAATGACTCATCGGTGGAATGAATGAATAACAATAAATGCCCCCCTTCCTATACACAGATGCCACACTTAGCTGAGGGAAGGAGCCATGGTCCCATGGCCGTGCAGATGAGTGCCCAGCCTGCAGCGGCAGGAGCCTCTGCTCCGTGAACGTGGTCCCAGGGAGGTGACCAGCGCTCCCCCCCAAGAGCCAGTTCTGGGAATTTACTCAGTCAGGAATGAGGCCCAGGGGAAAGATTAAAAAGCAATCTAAAATTTTGGCATCAGCTAACAAACAGTACATAAGGTTTTTCCATCCTCAGCTCTGCCCTGCAAGCTAATGAAGAAGAAAAACAAGGGGATTGCCCTGGGGGTGTGGGCATGCCAAACTTTGAGTCCACCAGCTGGCCGCACCCCCGCCCCATCTGCGTATCCACCAACTCCCCTCCTCCCCAACGGGGCGGCTATTTAAGGGCACCTGGAGTTCAGAGTAATCAGGACAGTTACTTGGAGCTGTCGACCCTGGCTTCCTCTGAGAGGTAAACACCCAGAAACCCATGCCCTGTCGGGAGTATGAGTCCCTGCTGCATTGTGCATGTGTGTGCACATGTGTTTATGTGTGTGGGGGCATACATGAACATAAACATGCATGTGCATACTTTGGGTCTGTGTGCACAAGCATGTTGTGTGGGTGTGGGAGTAGATTGCATGAAAGGTCTGCAATGGGGGGTGAGCTAGAGAGTGCGCATGTGTGCACATGTGTGTGAGCATATATGCACTTATGCATGTGTAGGAATATGTGTGTAAGGAGCTGGAAAGTCTTGCAAAGAGAGGGTGTGGCTTTAGTTTTGGAGAAAATTCCTGGGGACCGGACTGCATGGATGGAATCCCCAAGCCTCGAATCAGCTGGAACAAGTAAGACACGTCTAATGGGGGAGCACACGACCTATGGCCTTGGGAACCCCCCAGCTGGTTGGGGTGACTGGGTTGCAACCTCCAGGAGGTCTCGGCCTGACGGGTACCATGGAGGTCTCCTCAGTGTCCTCCACCTTGTGTATCGAGTGGGGTTCTCATCGGGTCTGAGGCCTGCGTGTGTGTGGAAATGTTCAGCAGAGCTGGAAAGGGTCAGGAGGTCCTGCGTGTGCCCATCTCTTGTGTGTTCTGTAGGTGACAAAGGCAGTCATCCTGGATTAGGGGCACGTCTGCATGTTCCCTCGAAGATTCCTTCCTCCGGGGCTGCTGAGCACAAGCCAGAGAGCAGGGGGCCAGGGCAGAAACTGAGACCACCTGGAAGAGGAGTCTAGGCCAATTCGCCTGCATTTCTCCCACAGGGAACTGTCGACATGAAGACCCTTCTGTTGTTGGCCTTGACCATGGCCTTTGGTAAGAGCCAAACCTGACCTCTGGCCACAAGGGGGCAGCCCAGGATGCAAGCACCCAGAGCCCCTGCTTTCCTCCCCGTCTGGGCAGGCCCTCCTTTCTCAGTGGGAGGGAGAGAGGCCACGGTGGGAGGGAGAGTAGCGGCAAGGGGCAGGGAAGGAGGGCGTGGGGCCCCGGGCCCCATCACCAGGCGGTTTCCTTCCAGGCCTGCTGCAGATGCAGACCCACGGGAGTCTGGTGGATTTCCATAAAATGATCTTTTTGGCGACAAGAAAGGAAGCTGTGTCTAGTTATGCCTTCTATGGTTGCCACTGCGGTATGGGCGGCAAAGGATCCCCCAAGGATGCGACGGATCGGTGAGACCCCGCCAGCCCTCCTCTCCCTCCACCCATTCATGGCTCCTGCAGGCCCGGTGCCCATCATCACAGAATCCCAGGATGTCCCCCACTGGGGAAAGCAGCCAGTATGTGTTGGAAACTCTGCTCTAGTCTATGGCAAAGTCACTGGGTCTCTGCCCAGGGTCAAGGGGGGAGAGACCTCTGCACCAGGCTCGCAGGAGCGGTGGGGAGCCAGCCCAACGACATATCCCCGTCACAGGTGCTGCGCCAGGCACGACTGCTGCTACTACCATCTGCAGAAACGAGGTTGTGGCACCAAGTTTCTGGGCTACAAGTTTTCTTACCAGAAGGGCCAAATCATCTGCGGTAAGAGAGTCCTACAGCCTCGCCCCATCTCCTCCGTTTCTCTTACCGAGTGTCCGCTGGCACCGTGCTGGGCCCCAGAGATAGAGATACAAAGGGACAGTGTGGCCCTGCCTCAGGGAGCTCATAGGGGAGTGGGAAGACAAAACAATGGAAACACAAAATGGGAGACTCCAATAGGAAGTAAGCGAAAGGGTGCAGCCCTGAATCTAGGCTGAGGTTCAGAAAGGTTCCTGAATGCAGGGCATCCAAGCTGAGTCTTCAAGGCTGTGCAGGCATCAAAGGAGAGGGCATCTGGGGGAATTCCTACTGGAGGGCTCTGCAGAGCCCAGGGGGAATGAGGCCAAAGGAGAGGGAGTGGTGAGAAATGAGGCTGAAGGAATGGGAAGGGGCTAGGTCAAGCCCAAGGTCATATTGTATTTAGGTTTTGTCCTGGAGCAGTAGGGCACTCTTGAACAAAGGAGTGACATGATTGCATTTGAGAGGACTCATCCTGGCTACAGGATTGGTGGAGAGAACAATGGAAGGGGGCGGGGAGCAGTGAGAAGATCATTGCCATTGGACGGATGTTACTGGTAGTCTTGATGGAAGGGATGGGGAGTGACTTTAACACACAAGCAGAGTCAGCCGAGCTTGGTGATTGGCTGGCTGCATAGGGGCAGAGGGAGCTTTTGAATGGGTGCACGTCTGTGTGGCCGAACAGGAGGCTGTCCTGGTGGGTGAGGGGAAGGGGAGTTCACGTAGAGTCTGTTTAAGAGGCTTCCAGCACGCCCCAGGGGATGTGAAGCAGGCAGCTGAATGTAGGAACATGCGGCTCCAGGGAGGGGTCTGGACAGGGGCCCCAGATTCAGGAGACATCCCCCACTTGGTGTTTAAAGGCCCAGAAAGAAGACAGAGGAGGGGATAGTCAGGGAGGGAGGAGGAGAGCTGAGAGAGAAGGGCCGGAGTTAACTGCAGCCAGTTTAACAGCAGCAGAGTCTCTGGAATAAGGGCTGACAGGCTCCTGGGACTTAGAGGCGGGAAGACCACTAAGGATCTCAGTTGGTGCTGTTGCCATGGAGCGTGAGGGCAGAGAGAGATTACAGTGGGCGGGGAGCGAGCAGAGAGTGAAGCCGAGGCGGCGGTAAGTATAGACCACGTTCTGGAGCAAGTTTGGCTTTGAAGGGGAGAGAGAGCTGGGTGGTCCCTGAAAAGTTTTGCCCAGTGCCCTCAGACCGCAGATCCACAGGTGGGTTTTTGAGAAAGCATCACCTCTCACCCCACACCCTGTGCTCTTTAAGATCAGAAATTAGGTCTCCCAGCCCTGGCTGGGGTAGCTCAGTGGATTGAGCTTGGGCTGCGAACCAAAGCATCGCAGGTTCGATTCCCAGTCAGGGTACATGCCTGGGTTGCAGGCCACGGCCCCCAGCAATGGCACATTGATGTCTCTCTCTCTCTCTCTCTCTCTCTCTCTCTCTCTCTCTCTCTCTCTCTCTCTCTCCCTCCCTTCCCTCTCTAAAAATAAATAAATAAAATCTTCTTTAAAAAATGTACACTTTCAAAAAAAAGAAATTAGGCCTCCCTATCATGACCTCTCCATGGGGTCCTGTATTTTAGCAGGCTTCGGGGTGCAAGCAGCAAGATGCCCAACTAGAAGCGGGCTGGATAATGGGGAAGTCTGACTCTGACAAAACAGAGGTCTGGGAGATGGCAGTGCCGGGGCTGGGGCAGCTTCTCAACTGCGTCGTCAGGGCCCCAGCCTTTCCCCACCTTCTGCTCCACAGTGTCACAGTGTGATGCCAGGACACACGGTGCCACTCCAAGCACCTGGCCTTACCCTTGGACGTCTCTCTTTTTGAGGGGATAAGTCAATCCTTCCCACAGCCCCCAGAAGCCTTCCCCTGGTGGCTCATTGGCCAGAACAAGGTCATGTGCCACCCAGAGACCAATCATTGAAGGAAAAAGGAATGAGTATGCCTGGCTTATACCAATCGCCACCCTTCCTAGGGCCCAGAGGCTGGGGCTTTGCACCTGGACGCATCTGTTGGCAAGAAGAAATAATGGCTGTCAGGAAGGCCTTTAAGAGTCTCCCAGGGCTTGGGTGCTGTTGCATCCCCATCAGACTGGGTGCTAGCTTCCCAAGGACAGGAACTCTAGCTTCCCACCCATCAGAAATCTGGGGCATAGGTGCTCGTCTCAGACCAGAAGCTTCTGGAGGACGGGGGGGCTGCGTCTTTTCCCCCAGGGTTCCCACAGGGAGCTACAAAACTAACAACCCCCCATCTGGTGTTTATTTTCGTGTGACTGCAGCAAAGCAGGACTCCTGCAGGAGCCGACTGTGCCAGTGCGATAAAGTAGCTGCCACGTGTTTTGCGAAAGCCCGGAAGAGCTACAGCAGGAAGTACCAATACTACAGCAACAAGAAGTGCAGTGGGAAGTCCCCCAAGTGCTGAGGGCTGCCTCGCCCTGGAAGCCCCCGCCGCCAGGCCGGGTTCCCTTCTCTGCCCGCCACCCCTTCTGCACCCTAGCTAGTCCCCCGGCAATGAAGCAAGGACAGAAACACCTGTCTCCCATCCTGGAGACAAGCCAAGAGCCCTTCGGTCCCCAGATAGAAGACTTCCACCCGGAATGAGAAGCCCTGAGGCTGGCGTTCCTGGCACCTTGTCCCCCTCTTCCTCGGGTGGCAGGAGATGTCCCCATTGCCCCTGCTCTCCAAGTGCTGCTTCCTGCTGAGCAGTGGCAGCTACACTCCCAGGGGCTCTTCTGAATAAAGCAATTCATTGGCAGATTCTGTGTATGTGTGTGTGTGTGTGTGTGTGTGTGTGTGCAAGCACCTGGCACACTGCTTGTCGATAAAGGTCTTTTTCATCAGCGCTCTCATTTCATTTCACTTACCCGGTTCAACACATGCATACAGGCTGGTACAAGACAATGTAGTGTTGGGGGTTAAAAATACAGACTCTGGAGTCAAACTGGCTGAGTCCAATTGCCCAACACCCCCTCCCCGAGCCTGTCTTCCCTCATCTAAATGGAGACAGCTTTGGTACCGGATGCTTGGGCTTGCTGGAGAATTAAAAGAGATACTAAATGGAAAGCTGCGGGTCAGGCGCAAGGGAAACCCAGCCACCCACGGCTCCTTCCCTGGGCAAGAGCAGCTCCTGCTGGCCTCCTGGGGGAAAACAGGACCGTTGGTCTTGAGGTTCTGGGTGCTCCAGGTCACATCTTCCACCCGCTCTGTTCTCCCGTGTGGCCAGCCTGGGGAAGGTGGGTTCATGCAATGCTGGCCACCAGCTAGATCCTGGGGCACTGTCCCCTCACCTAGGGAGATGGCTTCCTGGGCTGTGACCCGGGCAGAGTCCTGCAGGGCCCATGCTCGAAAGGGCAGCACACCTAGTTCAATGCTGTGCCCCAGTCATCTTAAAATTCATAATAAATAGGATCCCGCTCTTTGTTTTGCACTGGGACCCATAAATTATGCGGCTGGTCCTATCTTCCCCTGGATGCTGCTGCCCCTCCTGTCCTCCAGGGTACTGCTGGGACCGGTTTCTTTAATCATCACCCTCAGGGCTGCTGGGTGTGGACCCCCACCCCTGCATGGGGACACGAGTGGGAGCTGGGCTTTAACCCATGCACGGCCCTATCATCCTCACTGACCCACAGGTGGCACCTTTCTCTGATTCATCTTCCCAGAGGGGGACCTTTTCCTAATTCTGCATAAAAATGCTTCATTTGCTGGTGATAGCCCTGAGCATGTCCACGGTCCCTCATAATAAGAGGAATGCAAATTAAAAGTCCGCTGAGATATCATTTTTATGTTATTAAAATACATATAAATCCCAAAGTGTGACAACCCACTCTGTGGGCAAGGCTGCGTGGGGGAAGCGATTCACTCCTCTGTAGCCAGTAGGAGGGCAAAACGTCCACAGAGGGCCAACCGGCCCATCTACCAAAATTATAAACGTGTTTATCCTCTGGCTCAGCGACCCCTCTTCTGGAAATTTACTCTACAAAGACACACAGGTGCGCACACACACACAGGCCCATGCACAGTGATTCACGAGAATTTTTTTATTGCTACATTATTCCGAATTGAATTGGAAATAACCCAAGTGTCCATGTAGAGCAGACTCACTCAGTAAATGGTGATACAGCCTCAAAATGGAAAGTACCTGTCTAACGAGGGAAGCTTTCTCTGTTGCAGGATAATAAGGCTGCAGCATGGCAGCAAGCAACAGGAGCAAGGTGAAGGGCAGTAAGAACGGTGCGCTCCATTTACGTAGGGAAGGGTATTTGCTGATGTTACAAGAAACCTTGAAGAACGCACAAGAAGCTAATGGACATGGTTACCTGCAGGGAGCAGCGCTAGGGTGGGCACGAGCATCGCAAGCACATTCCTCTCCCTAGACAGACACTAAGTGTCGGAGACAATAGAGTGTAGTCCCAGGACTGGCAGGCTATGGCCATTGGCCAGACCTACTTGCTGCCTGGTTTTGTACAGCTTACAAGCTGTACAAGAATGGTTTTTATGCCCTGGCTGGTGTGGCTCAGTGGATTGAGCACCAGCCTGTGAAGCAAAAGGTTGCCAGTTCGATTCCTAGTCAGGGCACATGTCTGGGTTATGGGCCAGGTCCCCAGTGGGAGTGCATGAGAGACAACCACACATTGATGTTTCTCTCTCTCTCTTTTTCTCTCCCTTCCCCTCTGTTGAAAAATAAATAAATAAAAATTTTTAATATATTTTATTGGTTATGCTATTACAGTTGTCCCCATTTCCCCCTTTCACTCCCCTCCATCCTGCCCACCCCCTCCCACCCACATTCGCCCCCTTTAGTTCATGTCCATGTGTCATAAGTTCTTTAGCTTCTACATTTCCCATACTGTTCTTGCCCTCCCCCTGTCTATTTTCTCCCTACCATCTATGCTACTTATTCTCTGTACCTTTCCCCCTCTCTCCTCCTCCCACTCCCCTGCTGCTAACCCCCCATGTGGTCTCCATTTCTGTGGTTCTGTTCCTGTTCTAGTTGTTTGCTTAGTTTGCTTTTGTTTTAGATGTGGTTGTTAATAACTGTGAGTTTGCTGTCTTTTTACTATTCATATTTTTTATCTTCTTTTTCTTAGATAAGTCCCTTTAACATTTCATAAAATAAGGGCTTGGTGATGATGAACTCCTTTAACTTGACCTTATCTGGGAAGCACTTTATCTGCCCTTCCCATTCTGAATGAAAGCTTTGCTGGATAAAGCAATCTTAGATGTAGGTCCTTGTCTTTCATGACTTGGAATACTTCTTTCCAGCTCCTTCTTGCCTGTAAGGTCTCTTTTGAGAAATCAGCTGACAGTCTGATGGGAACTCCTTTGTAGGTTACTGTCCCCTTATCTCTTGCTGCTTCTAGGATTCTCTCCTTCATTTTTACCTTGGCTAATGTAATTATGATGTGCCTTGGTGTGTTCCTCCTTGGGTCCAACTTCTTTGGGACTCTCTGAGCTTCCTGGACTTCCTGGAAGTCTATCTCCTTTGCCAGATTGGGGAAGTTCTCCTTTATTATTTGTTCAAATAAGCTTTCCACTTGTTGCTCTTCCTCTTCTCCTTCTGGTACCCCTATAATTCGGATGTTGGAACATTTTGAGATGTCCTGGAAGTTCCTAAGCCTCTCCTCATTTTTTTTGAATTCTTGTTTCTTCATCCTTTTCTATTTGGTTGTTTCTTTCTTCCTTCTGGTCCACACCATTGATTTGAGTCCGGGTTTCCTTCCTATCACTGTTGGTTCCCTGTATATTTTCCTTTATTTCACTTTGCATAGCCTTCATTTTTTCACCTAATTTGCAACCAAATTCAACCAATTCTGTGAGCATCCTGATCACCAGTGTTTTGAACTGTGCATCTGATAGGTTGGCTATCTCTTCATCACTTAGTTGTATTTTTTCTGAAGCTTTGATCTGTTCTTCCGTTTGGGCCATTTTTTTTTTTATCTTGACGGGCCTGTTTCATAGTGAGGGGCAGAGCCTTAGGTGTTCACCAGGGCGGGGCGACCCACATCTCTGGGTTTTGACGCCATATGTGGGGAGGGGTCTGAGAGGGAACAATGGCGCTTGCTCTGCTCTCTGCCGGATTTCAGTCACTTCCCCTGCTTCCCACAAGCAAAGTGGGCCCTTCTGGTGCTGATTCCCGGTGGGTGGGCTTGTGTACATTCTAGGACCCTGTGGGTCTCTCCCAACACCTCAGCCCCGCCAGGTGTTTTCAATCGGTGTCCCGAGGCTCTATTTCCCGGCGCTGGGACACTGGGTTGTGGGATCTATCTCACTCCCCAGTTTCTCCTGGTTTATCTGCGCACAAATGTGCGACCACTCGCTTTGCTAGCCGCATTGCAAGCCATGGCCCTCCACAATCGCTGCCTCGCTGGGTCCGCCCACTGTCACCCTACACCCAGGGTCTGCCAGCCACTGCTTTGCCTGGACCCCTCTCCACCCGGCTGTCCGACTCTGCCTTTCCTACCAGTCTGGATGAATGTGTGTACTTTAAGTCATTGGCTGTCTGACTTCCATGCAGTTCAATTTTCTGTCTGTTCTGGTTGTTTTTTTATTTCTAAATTTTTGTTGTCCTTAATTTTGGTTGCACAAGGAGGCACAGTGTGTCCACCTATGCCTCCATCTTGACCGGAAGTCTCTCTAATAAAATCTTTTTAAAAAAAAACAGTTTTTACACTCTTAAGTGGTTGAAAAAAATCCAAAGGAGGATAATATTTGTCACACATTAAAAATGATATAAAATTTACATTTTAGTGGCAATAACTAAAGTTTGATTGTAACACAGGCATAATCTTTGGTTTGCATACTGTCTGTGAGCACTCGCACGCCAGGACAGCAGAACTGAATAGTTAAAACCCAGAACGTCTATCTCCTTACAGGAAGAGTTGGCTGGTCCCTGGTCTAATCAGCTCTTTTTCAAACTATCCCTGGTCTTTTACCTGTCTCAGCTTCCTACTTTTACAAAATAAAAGACATACCAAATATGAATCCAAATGTTTTGCTATTCAGTTTGATGAACATAAAATCAGTCTGTCAAGTTGCTTTGAAATTTCTAAACACTCACTCTCAGTCTCTGTGTGAGTCTCACGGTGGCTGGGAACCCTGTGCTGGCCCCTGGGCCTCTCCGTGGGAGGCACTGCTCCAACCTGTACTGAGGACAAACAAATACCCTTTAAAATTTTTTAAATTGCATTTTATTGATTATGCTATTACAGTTGTCCCTATTTTCCTCCTTAGCCCCCACCACCCAACACCCCCCACTCCCTCAGATAATCCCTCCACCATTGTTCATGTCCATGGGTCATGTGTATAAGTTCTTTGGCTACTCCATTTCCTATACTGTACTTTACATCCCCGTGGCTACTCTGAAGCTACCTATTTGTACTTCTTAATCCCCTCACCTCCTAACCATTCTCCCACACTCCCCTCCCATCGGGTAACCACAAAATGCCCTCTTATTCATGATACTGTCTCTGTTCTTCCTGTTCACTTAGTTTGTTTTTTAGATTCAATGGTTGATAGATATGTGTTTATTGCCATTTTATTTGTTCATAGTTTTGATCATTTTTTTCTTAAATAAGTCCCTTTAACATTTTATATAATAATGGTTTGGTGATGATGAGCTCCTTTAGCTTTTTTTTCTCATCTGGGAAGCTCTTTATCTGCCTTTCAATTATAAATAATGGTTTTGCTGGTGGAGCAATCTTAGCTGTAGGTCCCTGCTTTTCATGACTTTGAATATTTCTTGCCAATTTTTTTTTT